ATTCGGTCTAATAAGGAGGAACTGCAAATCTTCCTCTCTGTGCCATGGGGCCTGGGGCATGGCAGAAACAACCCTCCAGGGCTGTGGACTCTAGTATTTCTTGAGCACTAAGCACCTGTATGTCTTACCCACATTTAGTTTAGTCTTCACAGCAAGCCCATGAGATATGTTACCATCCCCATGTTGCAGATAAGCAAACACAGGCTCAGAAAGGACCACATGTTGCCCTGGTGTCATATTTATTGAACATTTACTATGTGCTAAGTGTTTCAGGTCTAACAGCCACCAAGATAGACTCGTGTCCCTCCCTCGTTCCACAGGTGGCCCCGGCTAAGCTGGAATGAGTCAGAGCTAGACTCAAAGCCAGGTCTGGTGGCCTTCTAGGCTGGTGCTTTTCCCACCTCACACTCCAGAACTCTCATTACACTCCCCTCATGGGGCCACAGACTGTGCCTGGCAGCCCCTTGGAGAATTTGAGGATTTGGGAATAATCCTGGGTTTGGAGACAGGCTGTTTCTGTAGAGCTTTCTGTTTGCCCAGCAATCCGCAAGCAGCCCTGACCCAAAGCCACGTTGGTCCAGTGCCTGACCACTGGGATGTTTCTCTATGGAGGGAGGAGCTTTCCCAAGGGAATTCCCCCAAGGGGAGGGGAGCCATCTTTGTTCTGGGGCCCCAGAGGGACACTGTTTCTGGCTGAGGTGGGAAATCCCCTTGGATTTCTCTGGGTTTATGGGAGGGACTATGGTTTTCCTGCAGCTTAAACCCATAAGGAAGAAAAGGGAAGACCAATGTATGTCAGAGAGTTAAATGAGTCTGGATGGAAGTGGCCCCCCGTGTTTGGGGCTCAGCTTCTGCCCTTCCTTCCATTCAGCCTTGGGCTCCCTCGAGACCTGTATTTATTGAACATTTACTACATGCTAAGTGTTGCAGATCTAACAGTCAACAAATCAGATCCATGTCCCTCGCAGTGGGCTTATTTTCCTTGAGTGGTCACTTGTCTTGGGTGAACTGGAATTGTCAGAGCAAGGACTCAAAGCCAACAAGTCGGGGGGCCTCCAGGGCTTGTGCTTTCCCCACTGCATCCTCCAGAACTCCCTTTCCCTCAGGACATGCCACTCATGGAAGGCAGAGACTGACTCTGGAAACCCCTTGGAAAATATCACTGGAAAGAGATGTTTTCTTTTTATTTTTTTTAAAGGACATACAACACCAGACAATCTTTATATATATATGACTTTATTTATTTATTTATTTATTTTTATGCGGTGCTGAGGCTTGAACCCAGTGCCTCACATGTGTGAGGCAAGCGCTCTGCCACTAAGCCACAACCCGGAGGAAATAATCTGCTTCACAACCTCCACCACTACCACCCCCCAAGAAAAAGGATACAAGATTATTGGAGCATTTACTCATAGTAGCAATCACCAGAAGCAACGTATATGTAATGAAATACTGTGCAATCATTAAAAATCATCTTGAAGAAGAAAATTAATAACTTGAGAAGAGTGCTTTATAACAGATGTATTCAAAAATTCAGATTACAAAACATAATATACCTTTTTTTAAAGAAATTTATAGGGCTGGGATTGTGGCTCAGTGGTAGAGCGCTCGCCTCACATGTGTGAGACACTGGGTTCAATCCTCAGCACTGCATGGAAATAAAATAAAGATAGTCTTTCCACCTATAATTAAAAATATATATGTTAAAAAAGAAATTTATATATGCACAGAAAAATATCTGGAAGGGTACATATCAAGTGCAACTTATAGTTAGCCGTCTCCAAGTAGTAGAATTATGTGACTCTGGGGGTTTTGCTTGGTTTTTTCCTTCTTCTGTTTTCAGTAGTTTCCTGGTCTTCAGTGGAAATGTGTGTCTTGTGTAATCGTGGAGAAACAGTCCCACAATGTGAACCAGAGAGAGAAGGGAGAAAGAATATTTCCTTTTGGCTCTGAACCTAAGGCCACTCTGGGCCCTGGCCTTGTCCCAAGAACGTAAATACTGTAAATGCCACAGGGGAGGCCTGAGAGCAGTGGAGTAGGGCCCAGCTCGAGAATCAGCTGGGCATCATTGTCCAGGCTGTGTCATAAATCTCATTCCCCCAGAGAGTCTGCCTGACCACACAGCCTGACTGAAGGTGGGTTATCCGCATTTATTTTCTTTCACTCCATTTTTGTGTCTTCAGAGTGCTTGTTGGTATTTGAAATTACCTGCCTGCTCATCTGCTACCTGGTGATCATTTACCTCCTACATCAGAAGACAAGCTTCCTGAGGGGAGGCCCCTGCCTGTCTTGCTCACTCTGACTTCCTATCAGGGAAGGGACTAAGGCTAGATCTTAATTTGTAAGAAACAGAACTTGCTGAGCAGCCCCAAGCTATGGCCATTTATCCCAGAGCTACACATGAGAAAATGGGAATTACTTCATGGCAATCTGGGAGGGGGGGGGATATCTGACTCGAGGCGCCAGAAATGGTGACACCTGGCACCCAGGGGGCCTAGCCCAGCATTGTAATGGCACTTCCCACTTAAGGGTATCATGGATGAACCAGCTTTGTGCTCTGCATTTCACACTTGAGGAAAGTAAAGGGAAAACTGATTTATCCTATGATCCCTGGCTCCTTTGCTTCCAGCCCTACTGTGGCTGCCATCCACCTCGGTCCCCCGGTTCAGGACTTCAGCTTCTCTCTTGAACTCACTCCTCCGGTGCTCATCCCACCCATTCCACTGAATCTCTCATGACCAGGATCTTGGTAACTCCAGGACGCTAAATCCAGTTGTTAATTCTTTGTCCTTGTATTGCAGGAACTTGCTCAGTGGATTGCTCCATCCTCCTTGGAATCCCTTCTCCTAATGTTCTTGCCACTACTTCTCGAACTGAGTTGCTGAGCTGTTGAGTGGCATGCCGTCCTTGGATGGCTTCTCCACTGACTTCCATTCTACATCATGGTCATCTTGACTTCGAAGAGCTACATGCTGAACACTCACAAATATTCATTTCCAGACTCTCCCCTGGATATCTCCAGCCAAGTGTCCAAAAGACATCTCACACGTAACATGTCTGTGTTAGCTTTTCATCACTGTGACCAAAATACCTGACAAGAACAACTTAGAGGAGGAAAGCTGCGTTTGGGCTCTCATTTTCCGAGGATTCAGTCTATGGTCAGCTGGCTCCATTCCATTGAACCTGAGGTGAGGCAGAACATCATGGTAGAAGCGGGTGGTAGAGAACTGCTCAATTCATGGCAGCCAGGAAGAAAACCTTCTAAGAGGCTGGGGCTATAGCTCAGTGGCAGAGCCCTTGCCTAGCATGTGTGAGACACTGACTGGATTCGATCCTTAGCATCACATAATTAATAAATAAAATAAAGAAACTTCTTGTAGGGAACACTCCTGGTGACCTGCTTCCTCTAACAAGGTCCCTCCTTCCCAGTAATCCATTCAGCTGTGGATCTATTTGATGGATCAATCAACTGATAAGATCAGAGCCCTCACTGATACAGTCACTGCCTAAATGCCCCACCTTTGAACCTTGCTGCATTGGGGACCATACTGTCAACACCTGAGCTTTTGGGGGACATTTCAGATTCAAATATAACAATGTAGAACCCTGAGTTCTTTAGCTGTCTCCCTATAACATCCCCACCCTGTAGGTATCTACAGTTCAGAAAACGGCAGTTCCATCCTCCCACTTGCTCAGGCCAAAATCCTTGGAGTCCTCCTTCACTCTTCTTTTTTTTTTCTTTTAATCTCACTTCCAGTCCATCAGTAAATCCCACTGGCTTCACTTTCTAGAATCTGCCCGCATCTCGGCACCTGCATGCTGCCTGTCTGGTCCAGGCCATGCTTGTTGCTTCCTAGGATTTCTATGATCGCCCCTTAACTGGTTCCATCCTTCTCCCAAGTTCATTCTCAACACTGCATCCAGAGTGATCCTCTTAAAACATGAGTCACATTGTGTCACTTGTCTTATAAAACCCTCTAGTGACTCCAGGAGTCAAAGCCCAGGCCTTTCTTTCCTACCTGAACCCTCTCTTTCCTCCCCTTTCCCTTCCCCTCTTCTCTGCCCTGGCCACTCCCCCTCCTCACTGGCCTCTAATGTGCCAGGCAGGCTCTCTCCTCCAAGCCTTAGTACTTGCTGTTGCCTCCCCCTGGAAACCTGCTTCCCCACGAATTCTCAAGGTCCATATTCTCACTTCTTCTAGGGCTTTGCTCACAGTTTACCTTCTCAGATGTCCAGCCTTTCCTGGACACACTTCTTAGAGTTTTGGCACTCTTTCCAGACACTCCTTGCCAGCCCCTCTCTCAAGCTGTATTCTTTTCTCGGTAGCACTTACCACCACTGGTTATCAAATATTTAATGTATTTATTTTTTTAGTTGTTCATCCCCCAATAGACTACAAGGCCCATGAGAGCAAGTGTTTTTTTTTGTTTTGTTTTGTTTTGTTTTCTGTTTTAGCCACTGCTGTATCTCCAGAGCCCTTGGACAATGCCTGGCATTTAATAGGTGCTCAAATAAATATCTGATGAGTAGCTTTATTCATGAAGATGAATGAAGGGACCACTTAGTGTTTATACAAGGCCTTGAGACAGCATAGAAAGAACACTAAGGTTTCTGCCAGCTCTGGATGATTAACAAGCTGGGTGAGAAGGAAACCCTCCCAGAGGAGAATGCCCCTGGGTGGAAGCCACATGCTGGTCTCTCTTGGCCAGCACACAGCCAGCTCACACCTCGTAGCTTTTGAAGAACTTGTCACAGCCAAGCTTTGCATCCCTCAGCTTCCACCCAGGCTTGCTTGGGTCAGAGGTCTACCCTGAGTGCTCTGTCTCCATCATTAACTTTCCCTTTTTCTCCAGGTGCCAGAGTTTGCAAGCTATTGATGGAAAACAACATCACAGTAAGAAAACAATAAGACCATGTCCAGCTGGGAACTTCCCAACTTAAAAACCTTGGAGTGTATTCAAGGAAGACCAGGGTGTGAAAGTGTCAGCAACTGGATAAAGTAATGACCTAGGGGACTAGTGTGGACTTCCTAGTCAGAATGTGAACCCTGAGGATGGGGGACAGAGTTAGTAGTGAGGTATTTATTTATTTATGTATGCATGTATGTATGTATGTTTGGTACCAGGGATTGAACTCAGGGGTGCTCACCACTGAACCACATTCTGAGCCCTTTTTTATTTTTTATTTGGAGACAAGTTCTCACTAAATTGCTTAAGGCCTTACTAAGTTACTGAGGCTAGCTTTGAACTTGTGATCCTCCTGCCTCGGCCTCCCAAACAGCTGGGATTACAGGTGTGTGCCACCACACCTAGCAGCAGTGAGGTCTTTAAACCCACTATCTTACTGCATTTTCTGTTGCTACAACAGAATACCTGAGATTGGATAACTTATAAAGGAAAACAGTTTATTTAGGCTTATAGTTCTGGAAGCTTGGGAAAGCCAAGATCAGGTGGTTTTATCTTGCTCTTCATGCCTGGCATAGCATGGTGGGAAAGTAGAAGGACTGTAGCAAGCATGCAAAAGAGAAAACTGGAGGGGACAGGTTCAAAACAAACCCACCCTCTCCACAACCTCCTCACCTCTTAAAGGTCCAGCCTCCCAACACTGCCGCAGTGCCAGTCAGATTCAGTATGAGTTTCAGAGGGGACAAACCACATTCAACGCACAGCACCTGGAGAGGCAGTGCTTCCCTTGGGGACAGCTGACTGAAGGCCCCCTGGACAGCCTTCCCGCTCTGCCTTCCTTGCCTCCCTCCATTTCTCCAGAATTCCTGCTTAGACCTCAACTCATCCGGCCTTGACAGAGTTCTCTGGCTTTTTTTCTTTTCTTTCTTTAACTATCAAAGACATTTTTCTTCTAGATTGAGAGGAAATTTACTAGCATCTTTACAGCATAGGGTTCCTCGGATTTTGTGTTCAATTTCAGTCCAACTTACAAAACGTGAAACCCAGGTGAAGATGGCGTGAGGGAGGGAGCATAGCGTTAGAGGAAAGCAGCGTTGGACTCGGCCTGAGGTTGGAACCACCCATCTTTGAGCCAGCCAGGGACAGAGGCAAGACATGAGCTTCCCTAAGTGTTTGTCTCCTGCCTATCAAATGGATAGAATGCCTACCTCCAAATTGGGACGATTTGGTAAAGTTAGCACATTGAAAGCCTGCAGCACAGCCCACCTGTGGCAGGGCTCAGCAGAAGGGTGTTCAGATGAGACATGAACCCGCAGTTTTTTTATCTGTGTAGAAGCCTGGCAACAGTAGTGTGTGTGTGTGTGTGTGTGTGTATTTAGCTGGTAGAATCATGGGTGATTTTCAATATATTTTTTTTTGTTTTTCTACAAGAAATACATACTACTAGCCAGGCACAGTAGTGCACACCTGTAATCCCAGTGACTTGGGAGGCTAAGGCAGGAGGATCACAAGTTTGAAGACAGCCTCAGCAATTCAGTGAGGCCCTAAGTAACTTGCTGAGACCCTGTCTCAAACTAAAAAATTAAAATAGAGCTGGGGAAGTGGCGCTGTACTCCTGAGTTTAATCATAAAGAAAGAGAGAGAGAGGAAGGAAGGAAGGGAGGGAGGAAGAAAAAAGAAATAAAGAGAGAAAGAGAAAGAAAGAAAGACTGCTTAGAGGGAAAGGAAAGGTACTGGGGAATGAGATTGACCCAGTTATGTTATGTATATTATGAACTTGACAATGAATCTCAGTATCAGTATAATTGTAATGCGCCAATAAAAAAGGAAAGAAAGAAATACATACTACTCATATAATGATGAGAAGCTGAATGACTCTAGAGAGGTATTATATACTTTTTAAATTAATTAAAGCGTGAAAAGTTTGGAAAAAGAAAGGAAAAACCTGCAGTCCATTTGCCTTTAGTAGACATGCCAGCTATATAGCCCCTGGGCAGCGCCCCAGAGGACTGAGACAGAGGCAGGGAGGAGAGGGCAATGGGTGAAGGAAAAGAAAGAAAGGAAAGTCACTCTGTGGGCTGGTGCCCACGGAGATGCCCCTCAGAAGAAATGCTCAGCCTTAGCATGCATGTATGTCCTTCCCCAACCCAACATGGCTCAGGAGCCTCTGGTAGAGGATATGGTGACATAAAGCCCCTCTCTCCAAGCTCCAGACAATGATGACTGTGTGCAGCTTCCTTCAGCTGCTCAGGCAGCTGACCTCTAGCACATCTGAGGAGGGGCCTGTGGCTTCAGCCCTGTGGCTCCTGATCTACCTTCATAAACCTGTTTTTTGTCCCTGTCTAGAGTAAAACATGCAGGGAATCCTACTGAATTCCAAAAATCATCCTAAAAGGATCAACACCTCTCTGGAGTCATTCAGCTTCTCAAGAGAAGCATTCCAATGCCGTGCTCCAGTTAACTATTGCTGCATAACAAACTACCCCATAACTTAGTAGCATAAAGCAACCACCATCTTATTATGCTGCAGATCAGGGACCCGGGGCCCTGTTCTCTGTTCTGCAATGTCTAGGACTAGGTTGGGATGGCTGGAGTGGCCAGGGCAACTGGAATGGTGGCTGTGAGCTGGAACAGCTGGGGCTGAAGGATCCACTTCCAAGGTGGTTTGTCACTAGACTGGGATAGCTGGAAGGCAGGGCTCCACAAGGCCTGCTGACACGTGGCCTTTCTAGCATGGAGGCCTGGTTGTTGGACCTCTTACACGGTAGCTCAGGTTTCTACTGTGAGTGTTCTGGCCAGCGAGATGGAAGCTGTGTGACACTATATGGCCTGGCCTTGGAAGCCACATACATCATCTCCACTAGAGTCACAAACCTGCCCAGATTCAGGGAAGAAGACACAGACCCACCTCATAATGGGAGAAATGGCAAAAAAAAAAAAATTAGCAGCCATGTTTTGAATCTACCATACTCCCATATAGTTGATGTATTCCTAGGTCAGGTCAGGGTGAGGTGGTGGGACATTGAGTCCTACTGATCAGTCTGCGACTGTACTCCCCTCACCTGTTTTCATCCCTATATCCAACTGTCCTCCCACCAGCTTATGTCTCTCCTATTGGGTAGGCAGGACCTAGGGAGGATTTCAAGCCAGTTCCCTTGGTTCCTACCCCCAACTGGCTCCTGTACTTTATCCCACCAGCCACACTCCCTGCTCTCCCCAGTCTGTGCTCCCCCAGTCTATGAGCATAAAGTAGCTTGCTTTCTGCCTGTGTGACCCTCTGCAGTCCTGCCTGTGGAAATCTCTCAACTACTCATGTCTCCTTTACCATTCTCTTTGCCTTTGAGGATTTATACCATTTGATTTTTTTTCTGTCATTTTAGTGGCACTTCAAGAGAGACACAGGACTGGGACACATAGATAAATTGGCATGTTTAACTGGAAGCCCTTTTCTACCTATTTTTTTTTGTTTGTTTTTGTTTTTATTTGTTTGTTTTTGCAATTCTTGGGATCTAATCCAGGGCCTCGTGCATGCTAGGCAAGGGCTATACCACTGAGCTACATCCTCAGATCATTTTATTTTCTATTTTTGAGGCAGAATTTTCCTAAGTTTCCTAGGCTGGCGTCAAATTTGTGACCCTCCTGTCTCAGCCTCCTCAGGAGCTGGGCAGGTATGCAACACCACACCTCACTCTGCTGGATTTCTTTTGAATGAATGTGTCTCTCTAAGCTGTGTTGTAATCTTCCCTGCCCTATAAAAGTACAGTGTTTGATAGTATAGTGACCACATTTAGCCTTTGTTGATGATTCAGAGTCCTCCTTATGAACATACATGTTCACCTTGCAATGGTTAAGTTAAGTAGAACTTAACTGTCCCTCCACGATGGGACCCTGATCACAGTTCCCCACAGTGCTAGAATGCTTGACACCTCTTTCCATGACTGCCTCTGTCTCTGGCTGCCTCCCATCCTGTGCATCTGTGCTGGGGTACTGCATGACAGCAGGTTAACTTCTAACTTCCTCTTTTAGAATTGCTAAGCCAGATCTCTATGCCAGGCTTTCTTTGGTTGCTGTCCCCCACCCACTACTGCTCTTCCCTATGCTTTCTGCCCTTCCCTACGCTTCCCAAACTTGACCTTGGTGGATGACATCAACCAGCTCCATGCCTCATGCTTCAGTTAGGTTTGACCAATTGAAAATCCTAGCTAAGGTGGGCTGGGGATGTGGCTCAAGTGGTAGCGCGCTCACCTAGCATGCATGAGGCATTGGGTTCGATTCTCAGCACCACATAAAAATAAAAAAAATAAAGATATTATGTCCAGCTAAAACTAAATATATATATATATATTTTTAAAAAAAAAAAGAAAATCCTAGCTAAGGTTGGAGGCTAGGAGGAAAGTGGTATTAGGGTACTCTATCCCCCCAGCTTTCTCACTTGCTGGGCCTCACAGCAGCAATGTCTGTGTTTTCACCCCCAAACCACAACTGCTGCCAGCCACTCTCTGGGCTCCAGTAGACTTTCCGTCCTCCTCTGGGGTGGAGGACATGGTCACAGCCCCCCACTGTTGCCACTATTGCTGACTCCAGGGCATCTAACCTTTCCTTGTGGATTTCTCTCAACCTGTGCCTAAACTCTCCTCTGGTACCTGGGGCGTCAGGGGTGGGGAGCGGCGGGGGGGGGGGGGCATCTGTTTCCTGCTGAGATCTGATCAGTACAGAAACCTTGCCTGATTTGCATCTAACACAAGAATAAATAGTTCCCTAAATTCACCCAGCAAGACCATGGTAGAAATCCTGGGTATGAGCTTTGTGACATCTCAGGGACACACAGGGACTTTTGTTTCATTTTATTCACATCCTAGTTTTTTAACTGTGATACAGATAATAAAGGGCACTGGATTACTGACTTCTTACTAGAGTGTATATAAAGAAACCAGGAGAATTCACGATGACGTCCGGAAATTATATGTCAGGCTGGCAAATATCAACAGCTTGGGGGAAAATATCTGGTTTCCTGATCACGGATCCCTGTTAGGTCTGGAAGGTGAAGCTGAGTATTTGGGGACATCCAGGCTGAGTGATTCCCCCAGGCCTCACATGAGGACTCTCTCAGGTGGACCCACCCTGCCTGTGTGTTTTCTGGTCAGTTTGGCTCTTTGATGCCTTTGTTCTGAGG